CAACATTTAAATGAAATTATCTTCAAAAAGTAAATGTCATGAACCAATCTAACGTTTCAAATAAAGAACCGATGAGATTTTGCAAATTTTATGCGTTTTTTTTTTTAAAAAAGTTATCAAGCTCTTAAAAAATCACCCGATACATATCTTGCACTTACATCTTGAATATTCACCCCTAAAAATGATGGCATTTTAAAACTGTTCAATTTTGAAAATAATTTCCTGGAGTTTCGGTCATGGGATGACATTGATTCGTTAACGTTTTTTTGCTGCATACAGAGTTGGTAGTCTTCTTCTGATGCACATTTAAGAAAATCGTTCCATTTTCCAAATAACCTATATCTTACTTTTTTTCTAAAAATAAACAAACATATATTTTGTATATACAACACAATTGCATACTTCAATTTGAAATTACGAAATTTTCACAATCGTTCATTTTGAGGTTTGTTCAAAACTAGCGCAAATTGTGTATTTCTTAAGAAAGTGTTTTTATAATATGTTCATGAGTAGTAATCACATCTAAATATATTGCCCTTCTGTCAACTCTCAAAGTACTCAAAAAAGTATATTTTTGTGACCATATGGCACTATTAATGTATTGCATGAGCAGGGACGTTATCATAATGCAAAGGCGAATTTTTAATATATACGAAATCGGGTAATTTTCAGCGGATTGTTTCGCCAAAATTACGCATAACTTGCGGGCAATATTCTTTATTGACATAGGACCCCTTGGCAAGAACACGACACCCCAATTTTGGTCTTTTATTACATTGCTCGAGCTTTGTCTAATAACATTTTATACCATTGATAAACATTGCTTTTGTCTAAGTTATCTTCTCCAAATGCCGCAGTCAACCTTCGAAATGCGTTCGCGCACTTTAGTTTTTTTCATCCAAATTTGATATGAGTACTCGTACCAACATAACCCAACAAAATAATCGAAAATCGGAAAATTCTAAATTCGCTTTATATGTATGTGGGATTGCAACCCTGACCTGACCTGACTTACACACGCATGCAACCCTAAACATACACCCTGAATGAACGGACTGAACGAACGCAACGAACGCCGACAAGCGACCGTTGAAAAGACAAACACACTATTCTGAGACTTCAACTGCAACGGACGCGTACTCTTAAAATAAGAAAACATAAGCAAGTCACCTTTTGTCGTAATCAATCAACTAAAGTATCAAAACTACTTTTATAAATTAAAAACAGAAAATAAACAAATTACTCTTTTCAAAAATAAATAAAGTATTTAATATCAATATTGGGCCCCCATTGGTGTCAAAAGTGGGATACAAATCCCTTCGCGTGTGGAAGAAATTGGCATAAGTGTCGTGGCAGAAATGCCGGAACGGTTTAAAAAGTGGCAAAAGTGTCGTGGCAGAAGTGCCGGATAATTCGAAGTTTGTGAACTATAAAAAGATTGTTCAGGTGAACAAGCAGCGGTGATGACTGTACTGTGTTTTTTTTTTTCAAAGGGAACGTTTTAGAAAGTGGCAAAAGTGACCGGTGACGACCGTTAAGGGCACCGTTAAATTATAAAGAACGTTCTAGAAGTTTGCAAAAGAGTACAGTGTCGGCTACTCTTGGCTTGGCGTGGCGTGACCGATGTCTCCGTTAAGGGCACCATTAACATAAGCCGTTGTGACGCCGATTCGGCGTTGTTAAGCGCAGTAGAGAGTGAGCAGCATCTGAGAGATTTTGCGGTAGTATGTGTGAGCAGCATCAGAGTGATTTTGCGGTAGCAAAGAGTAAGCAGCGATCCAGATTTTGCAGCAGCAAAGAGTAAGTAGCGATCCAGATTTTGCAGTAGCAAACATAGCAAAGAGTAAGCAGCGATCCAGATTTTGCAGTAGCAAAGAGTAAGCAGCGATACAGATTTTGCGGTAGCAAAGAGTGAGCAGCGGAGCAGTTCAGCCTATGTACGAGTAGAGTAAGCTTATAACAGGTATGTGTTAAACGCTAACTAATTAGAATCTATTGGCAAAGTTATCGATACTATTGTATGATTTTTTTTTTCTGTATCGATAACCTATCAGAAAATTCACAAACAAAATTCAAAATACTTATGTAATGGAACTCAAATTTGTATTATTATAAAAAAGAAAACTTTACTAAGAATTGTAAGTCAAATTGTTAAATGAGCTTTGAATTAAACAAAATTGAACTCAGTTTCAGAAAGACAAATTTTGAAAATTAATTTCCCTAAATTTAAATTTAAATCATAAGAATTAACTCTGTATTCAAGTCGTTATATGAAAGCAAAACTTGTCAACGTATATTTTATGATTCATCTTTACTTATTATATATTAAATAGCTAAATTGTATTGAAAACTCTATACCATTTACTCTTGTTAACAGTCAACATGGACGGGCAACAGATTTTTTTATTGACAGTGAACGGGTTAAAGGAAAAATTGTTGGTACTGGGCTTATCGACAAATGGCCGAAAGCCACGTTACAGGACAGACTTTGTGAGCATTTTGGACTGACTGTAGATGCCCAAGAGGATAGCTCAGACAGTGAAACAAGGTCAGTGCAAAACAACATGTTGCTGGCAATGGCGTTCGGGTTTCCGGTCTTCACTCTGCGCGATCTCGAGGAATCTCTTTCAACTTTTAGTGGTACGGGACAACACCCAGTCGAGGAGTGGCTCGATGATTTTGAATCCAATGACATGGCAGTTCGGTGGGGGGATTTACAAAAATTTATATACGGGAAACAATTATTGAAGGGTGCCGCGAAAATTTTCGTTCGCAGTCAACGGGACATAACTAGTTGGAATGCACTTAAACAATCTTTGAAAGAAGAGCTATGGAGTAGGTGATTTTTTCGTGTCGAAAGTTTGCGAGTTTTAGCAATTGATTTAGCATATATTTCAAGGGTAGAGGTTAAGTGATTGTTTATAACTTTTTAACGTTAGATTTACGGAATGGGTTTTTCCATGTGCCAATAGAGGCAGGTTCTCGGAAATATATGTCATTCGTAACCCATCAAAGTCAATATGAATTCATTTATGTTCCTTTTGGTATTTCCAATGAACCAGCAGTGTTCACTCGATACATTTTCGCTGACTTAGTGAAGGATGACATCGTGGTAACTTACATGGATGATCTTATAACTCCTTCTATTAGTTATGACGAGGGTATATATAAGTTGAAAGCGGTGTTGAACAGGGCGGCATGTTATAACATAAGGATTAAGTGGGAGAAATGCCAGTTCCTAAAGACGACTGTTGATTTTCTGGGATATATTATAGAATGTGGTAAAATAAGAAAAAATCAGGAGCAAAAACGCAGGCAGTTAGGGATTTTCCGACACCTTTGGATAGGAAAACGATGCAAAGATTTTTAAGGCTTACTTCTTATTTTCGCCGTTTCAAAGAAAGATATGCATTGGTCGCTAAACCACTGTCTGACCTGTTGCGTAAGGATGTAGCTTTGTGTTTGGGATCGAGCAGCAAGCCTCGCTGCAGCAACTAAAGACAGCTCTGGCTAGTGCACCAGTGTTACGGTTGTACAATCCGAAGGCTCTAACTGAAGTGCATACGGATGAATTGATACATGGATATGGTGGTGTACTCTTACAAAAGGACAGCGAAGGTTTGCACTTTCACCCAATCCAGTACATGAGTCGGAAGACAAAGCCAGCAGAGGAAAAGTACCATTCATATGAGTTAGAGGTGTTAGCGATTGTTGAAGCACTTAAAAACTAGGGAGTATATCTTTTGGGGTTGCATTTCAGAATCGTTACTGATTGCAATGCGTTCGCAATGACCATGAAAAAGAAGGATATTCCGCTTAGAGTATCCCGGTGGGCGTTGCTATTACAAGATTTTGACTATGAAATAGAACACCGAAATGGCTCCAAGATGCGGCACGTCGATGCATTAAGCAGAATGGCGTGTCTTATGTTGGAAGATTCTTTACTACATAGGAGTCGGGCAGTGTGCAAAGTCTTGGAAGTAACTGAATATGAAGATTTCTACTTGAAGCATGGACTACTACACAAAAATTCCATCGAACGAATTCCACGAAGAAGGCGTACAACTATATTCTTGTTGCGGTAGATGCTTTTTCAAAGTTTGTGTGGTTGTACCCGGTCAAGAACACTGGAGCCGAAGCAGTCGTTGATCGTTTCGAGAAACAGGCCGCTGCTTTCGGTAATCCTCGGCGTATTATAACTGATAGAGGTGCTGCGTTCACGGGAAATCTCTTTAAAGATTACTGTGCGAGAGAGGGCATAGAGCATTTCGTAATAGCTACAGGTGTTCCACGGGGCAATGGACAAGTTGAACGAATACAGCAAATTGTAGTACCGATGATTTCTAAGAAGTGCCGGAAGGGCCTGGGAATTGCTATAGGCACTTAAATAGGGCACACCAAATTATTAACAATACATCAACGCGTAGTACCAAGTTTTCTGCATTTAGAATTTTAACTGGCTTAGAGATGAGGATTTCGGGTATGACGGAAGTAAATGAGTTGATAGAAAACGCCGCCTTAAATGAATTAGATTCAGACCGACAAGTGACAAGGGATCAGGCAAAACAAAATATTGAGACAAAAGGAAAACAAAAAAATTTTGACAGAAAGAGGAAGGAATCAACAAAGTACAGACTGGACGAATTAGTCGCCATTAAGCGAACTCAGTATGGGAGCGGGCTTAGGTTAAGGCCTAAATATTTTGGACCATATAAGATTTCGAAGGTTTTAGGACGCGATAGGTATGAAGTCGRRAAGGWCGGTGAGGGTGAGGGTCCTGGGTACACGACCACCATTGCCGAATTCATGAAGAGATGGAGACCTTCGTTCGAGCCGAACGAATAAGTCAGGAAGGCCGAATGTGGGATTGCAACCCTGACCTGACCTGACTTACGCACGCATGTAACCCTAAACATACATTCAGGGTGTATGTTTTGAACGGACTGAACGAACGCAATGAACGCCGACAAGCGACCGTTGAAAAGACACGACACTCTATCAGGGATAATGGGATGCCCAACTTATTCCAGTGTGAGAGCGCTTCAAAATAAGCGTTTTTTATAAGATTTTCCATTATGGCCAGATCGCACCCGATTTTTGGACATTTTAAATTAACATACCCAACATTTATTACGATTGCAAATTATTATATACTGGACTTTTAATATATGGCGAAACTACTTAATTCCTTTTTTATGATTTTATGGTATATTAAAATAACTCACTTTCGATATTTCAATACATAAAAGCCTGTTAGTTCTAAACTAATAAATGTTTTTAATAATTTGTAATAGAAAATTAATTCTATTATGCATCAAATTACAAAACGTTTCATAATATATATTTAAATTTCGTATTTTCTTTGATTTTCATTATTTTAAATTTTTATTAGCAATCTTGAACGGCGGCAATAAATTTCTCCGTTCACATATATTTTCGGTATAATTTCAATCTGGCCGTTCCAGACATTCCAATTGCAAAACGTCAAAACCTACTCAATCCAGTCAATTGTCAAAGTTCGGTAGGTTTTAACGTTTAGCAATTGCTCTCTCACTTCCAGTGAGAAAGGAGTTGGGATCTCATTATCTCTGCACTCTATTCTGAGACTTCAACCGCAACGGACGCGTACTCTTAAAATAAGAAAGCATAAGCAAGTCACCTTTTGTCGTAATCAATCAACTAAAGTGTCAAAACTATTTTTATAAATTAAAAACAGAAAATAAACAAATTACTCTTTTCAAAAATAAATAACGCGTTTAATATCGATATTGGGCCCCCACGTGTATATTGATTTTATGTATTTAATTTGATTTTATTTGTTTCTTGTTTTACGTAAAGCTATCTGCTGTATACGATATAATTATATTGATTAAGATCCGAATCGTTTAATAGACTAGTATCTATCCATTCGAATGTCTATGTCAAAAAAAGGTTGATAAAAGTTAATGTCTGTGTATTTATATTTAAGTATTTAAAGTTAAAGCCAAATCTGTGTTGTTCACTTTATATTTATACTCTTGCAAGATGTGGCTACAGTGTATCATAGTTTTGTTCACTTAACGGATAGATACAGGGTTATAGACATATGTATATACAAATGATCACGATGACGAGACGAGTTAAAATTCGGGTGCCTGTTTGTCTATCCCTCCGCCCATTCATCCGCGCAAGCTGTAACTTGCGTGCAAATTGAGATATCTTGATGAAACTCACTAAATTAAGATATGTATATAACTCGAATTTAGCGTAGAGATCGCAGTAGCAAGGGGTATCTGTAAAGGAAACAGGACTTTTTGAATCTTGCGCCCCCTGGTGGCGCCATCTATATTTCGACTGGTGCGTTAAAATCTGCTATTTTTGTTGATTGCCCAGTGAGAATTTCATGATATTTTATTGATTAAGTGTGAAGTTATTTCGTTTTAAGTGTCAGTATGTTGTTGTTATCTGTGCGAAAATCAGCTTCGAACAAAGACCCAACATTAAATTTTGATTTAAAACTGGTAAAACTTTAACCGAAACGTTTCAATTAATGAAACAAGTTGGCGATGATTGAATATCCCATAACAGAGTGCATGAGTGGTTTCAACGTTTTCAAAGTGGTCATGAGGACATATATGACGATCAACGTGATCACAGGAAATTCCATCGAAGCTGTGAGTGAATTCATCAAAAATCAGGTGTGTGCACGGTTTGTTCCGCACAAATTGACTGACGACCAAAAATTGCTCAGAATCCACCATTCGATTGACACTTGTGACCAATTATTCGACCAAAAATCACATTTTAAACATTATCCACTCCCCGTATTTTCCTGATATGGCATCGTGCGACTTCTTCCTTTTCGGAAAAATGTACTTGCTAATAAAAGGAAGGCGTTAAGCGTTCAGCCATACCGGATGACGAGTCAAAATACTCCTTCGACATGGTTTTGGGCCGTGCAAAAAGCTGTATGAAGCAGAAGGAGACTATTTTGAATAAAATAAATTGATTTTGCCGATTAAAACATTTGTTCTGTTTTTTTTGTTTTAAGGCCCTGTTTACTTTAGACCGCACCTTGCATAACAGTACAGTTAAAATTTATTAAAGTAAATATGCCAGAGACCTTAAATTCTACCCTCGAGACGATGAGAGTGGAACCGACCCCTTTTAGGTGAGAGCAAATTGGACTACAATCACGTTTCGTTTTATATAACGCTATTTTAAATTCCCTTTGACTGCTTACTTTCTAGTGCACATCTAGTGCCTCAGAAGTGGCGCCCTACCTATTATAATGTTTTTCACGTTCCGCGTAACTTTCGAAACTTTAATACCATAGAAGTGTATGGGTTGACCGTTTATGTTGACTAGATATACGTCATTGATTCTGTTTTTTAGCTTAGAATACGTTGGTACTGGTCCTTGGCTGTGCTAGTCCCTACTGACCCTTTATTATGTATGTATATCAGTATTTCTTCTTGTTCTGAGTGCAGTTTTTTCGTATATAAGTTACATAAGCCAAAAGATAAACTTCCTTTCAAAAATCGCTGGCTCCAAGCCGGTAGATCCACAAGAAAAAATTTCAGCTTTGTCGACTCCTCCAAAATTACATGTTTATACTATCGGTAACGTATTAAAACAAGTACATATATACTTATATTAAGTTCTGAGAATTTAAAGTGGACGTGGTCTAATAGGTTTTTATATTTCCATTTTCGGCTACTAAAGTTAGATCAAAAAAAGTTGCTAAAGATAGTTCTCTATACTATGTCATCATACAATTTTAAAATGATCTGTGAAAAGATTTAATAACGGTGCTGACCCCCACACCTTCATATTATACAGAAAACTACTAAAACAAGTAATACATCAGAAAGATTATAATTTGCAGTAAAGATAGAATTGTGAGGCTGCACATAAATCGATCTAGAGACCAATGGGCATGGTATCGCACATACTAAAATTAATTTACGGAGGTTTTTCTAAAGTAAAAAGAAAGTAAAGTACTTACTCATCGTTTTCAACAATTCCAAGCACTTTGTTAGCCTCTTTGGAAGAACTGGCTTCTTTAAAGTCTAAAATGGCGCGGAAACCATTCGAATGATTTTTTATTTCCATTGTCCCAAGCTGTTCAATCCATAGTTTACCTACAACTACATTATGTACACAGCAGTTAACATTACTCCATGAGTAGGCCTCGTTCCATCTGAAACCATAGTTATAGAATTGGGTTTTAAACCAAGGTAATGCAACTAAATATTTGAACTAACAACGAAAATTATTTAAAAAGGTACATTATTTAAAATACACCAATGGATGGCAAGAGAGATTGATAATGCAACATAAATATGCTATGTGCTTTTGTTGAGCTTTATTACAAAACTGAAAACTTAATTCTATTCTTGGTTGTTATGAAGCTAAGCCTGAGCCCTATAAATACCTAGGCATCAAAATTAGGTTTGCGCGTGTTTCTCTCAACTACTTAATAATTGGGAGACCGGATGCGCGTGTAGCGCATTCCATTAGTTGACTCCTAATTATGCAGACATTGCTGTCAGCAAATGTATGTTGTGTTAACTACTCCCTCCGAAATTCCAATCGTCCCCGATTGGTCTTTAAAAATATGGTATGTCGTTAAGACTTTTATGCCTTGCAACTTTCCTTGTACGCATATGAATCACCCCCACTTTTGAATAGTGATTTGGCCATTTTTCGTGTCCGAATTTTAAGAGCTATAATTATGAATTTAAAAAGGACCAAAATACCAAAATGAGTTAGCATACTAGACTTGACTAGTAAATTTAGAGAGCTAATTTTTTTAATGTTTTTAATATTAAGCTCTCTCATAAACTTTAGAGATAGTACATTTTCGTACTCGGATCGAGAATTTGAATTATGGATTAATGCTGGCAATGGTCTCAGGCTGTGAGCTTCTAAGGCAGTAAAGTTTAAATTGTTAATTTTTATTGTTTCATCAAAAAATTTTACTAAAAATTATCCATTTAAATGTCTCGTTACATTATTACTTATAGTTAAATTTCCTTGAAAGTTATTTAGTAAAATTAATCCTACTTGGAGGATGGAGTCATGTGTAGCAGTTCACGCAAGTGAGGAAAGTTTTCTGATCGC